TTGCATAAGTAGGGGTTATTTCTGAACTGTAGCTTTTCCTTCTATTTTACAACTGGCCATGACCACATTAAGAAACATCTTTTTTAATGAGTGCTAACTGACATGGAGATCATTTGGTATAAACTAGATGGGATGTTGATAATGAAGTTTTATGCTTATGTCCAGATTTCAAACAATTATTTGCTATTTTGCTTTACTTTGAAGTACATAAACTTACTTAAGTTATACCATACTAAAGTTTTACTTGGGGTAAACATATTCCATCGAATTCTAGTGCTATAATATGGGAAAATGTTATGTTTTCACAGTTTCTATCTATGTGAAATAAAATTCAATTCTGAAGAATTTTTTATATGGTGTGTATGTGTGTGTGTGTGAATACCTCTGCTGTCTGGTTTTACCTTCCACCTTGTTTGAGACAGGATTTCTTATTTTCTTGTTGCTTACTATTGCCCAACCCAGGCTAATTGACCAGGGTCTCTGAGACTCTTTGAGCCACTCTGGATTCTCTTTCATGCTTACCCTGACAATCACCATTATGGCTGTCTAGCACTTCACCCTCATTTCTTCAATCCACTTGTGGTGAGGAAGCAGATGCCAAGGTTCCTTGAGTAACCTTTCTACTCCCCACGGTTCGATATTAAGGAGTCTGGTTGGAGAAACACCCCATGTCACATTGAGTCACCTACATAGGACTTCAACTACATAGGACTTCACCATGTAAGGAAGCTCTCTGGTCTCAGGAGGGCTTCCATGTGAAACACGGGGAATAGGACAGTAAGGCTCTGTGAAGTAAATGCTGGTCATAAAGGGATACTTGGGTCAGGTGCCCCTCTGCAGTAGGGTCAGGTGCCCCTCTGCAGTAGGGAGAACAAAAGTAGCAGGTTCTGGCCTTGAAACACGGCACAGCTGGTCTGAGCACCGGAGCCTGTCATTCCCAGTGCCCTGTTCATTAAGAGTATGAAGTCTTGTTTCCTCTCCTAATGCCTTCTTACCCCAAACCCCACTGACCATCATTACTCCTCATTTTTATGCTGTGATAACCCTTTGTTACTAATTCAGAAATCAGGGCTTGCTCTGCTGAGTCACCAATTCTTACAGTAGTTCTTTCAAATTAGGGCAATTGATAAACTCTCTAGAGGCACCCACATCTACCATATTGAAACTCACTGCACAGTGCCTACTGCTGGGTATTTGAAGGAAATTACTATTGAATAAAGTTTAAAATTGCCCAACTTCAACCTGCTATAGACATCACAATTTGTCTGATTTATTTGTAGGAGCAAGCATGCCCCCCTTTTGGTTTGTTCAGTAACTCTATCATAACCTTGGTTCCCATCTAAGTATGCATGCTGGCACAATCCCCCATTGTAAGCAGACTCTTCTATGTAAGCTTCTGATGTAACTCACCTGTGTTCATCTAAAGCCTAATACAAGAGTTTTGTACATAATTGCTATTTATTAAATATCAGTGTACAAAGCAATATGTACCCAGGGGCTGTCTCCTGCAATTCATTTTAATCACACAATTGTAATGAATATGTGTAGGGGAAACTGAAGCCATGCCTGCTTAGGGGCTGGCTGCAGGTGTGCCTGACCACGCCTGCAAGGGCACGGTCAGGGTGTTGTAGGGAAGGTTTAAGAGTGAAGGACGCTCACTTGGCGGCCCCTTCTTTTGCTTTCATCTTTGGCTTGCTGTACTTCCTGCTGCC